AGAAGGGGGCCTCGGACTTCCAAATCACACAGTAAGTTACACTGGTGGTTGCATTAAAATGGAAACAGTAGGTACTCGGTTTAATCTGAACAAAATTTTTCCGTCAGGTTCCAGAATAATAAACATTTACCTGAGGAAAGTCACCACTATGGGACTGAACAGCCTCTATCCTCTCTGAATTCATTTTCCTATGTCCATCTTCTGACTCTGCCTTATTGACAGCTGAGCTAAACTAGTCACTAAGTGGAAGAATTCCACGCAGAAGGTTAATCAACTGCAGTCGTATATTTGATGGTCTAAGACAGGTGTTGGCAAACCATGGCTTGTGAGCCAAATATAGCCCGCTGCTTGGTTTTGTAAATAAAATTTTACTGGGGCACGAACACCATGTTCATTCATTTCTGTATTATTTACGGACACTTTCACATTACAGAGCCCAGCTGAGTAGTTGCGACAAAGACCGTATCAGACACAAAGCCAGAAGTATTTACTATCTGGCCCTTTACAGAAAAATGTGCCAATCTTGGTCTAGTATGCCACAGTCCACATGTTTCGGAGCAGAGTTATTAATCCTATGGGGTCTTTAAACAGCAATCACCTCTTCCCCCACCCCCCAAAAAAATGTTTGCCTAAGTATATGTTTTGTGTATGACGTGCATTTCCTAGGGAAAAGGTCCAAGCTTTCCACAGATTCCCAGTGGGAGCCAGAGTATCTCAATTAAAGACCAAGAAGCCAAGGAACGTCTTTAGCTGTTAGCACACTTAGCGGTGCTGTAACACACAAAGACCTCTGCAGAAGGAAAACTTGGAACTGCAGCAGCAGAAGGTGGTTTTTTTCTGTTCCATCCAGTTTGGTAGCTGCTTCTTCCTAGATTTTAGTCAGGTATTTTTCCATCTAATTATGTAAATTTTTAGGGGCCTAATTGAAAACTTCATCTTCCACTTGAAAAGTAAAAAAAAGTCCTAGGAAGGCGACTTTGATCCCAACCCCTTCTCATGTGCTAATTCAGTGGCAGTGTGAGCCAGCAAAGGGCCCTTCAAGCCCCCATAGCTGTTAAGGAGGCAAAATCTCAGCACCAGAGACCTATAATTTAACTCCAGAGAATTTTATGGATACACAAATCTTACCTCCGAGCTCAGAATGAGTTAGTTACATAGCCAAAATAGCCTTTGGGTGAGAAATTAAGAACTAGATATCTTTTGTATTTTCAGGCCAAAGATAAAGGTTTTTTGGGTTTTTTGCAGTTTTTGGCCAGGACCAGGTTTGAACCCACCACCTCTGGTATATGGGGCTGGTACCCTACTCCTTGAGCCACGGGTGCTGCCCTAAAGACAAAGTATTTTTTCAGACACTTTGGAGAGAAACACTGGTTTCTCTGAGCACAGCTAATGAAGCCCATTGGTCAACAAAGACATTTTAAACTACCAAACTGTAGCCCCAAGATTACAAGTCCAAAGGCAGTACTACATCAAGTTCATGTGGAGAAATCAGGAACACTGTCAGGACCAGCCTCCCCTAATGCTGGGGCTTAGGAGCATTGCATTTTCTAGACTAGGACACTCTTGGCATTGAGGGATGGATGAATAATAGCAAAGAAGGTAGGATCACAACTGACCAGTGAATTAGCCAGAGGCAAGCAAAAACAATAAGAAGAAGAAAACAAAGAGTGAAATGATATGGAGGGTTGAGTGACCAGGAATTGCACTGTAAGGGTCACCAACTGTAGCCAGTGCAAATATCAGCATAGCATGTGTCTGTGGTTCCCAAGTTGTGTACTGACATGCTCTGGGGCATGGCAGCAAACTCACAGGCATGGCAAGGTGTTGTACAGCGACATTTGGAGGACATCATGCAAACTGCTACTGTCAAGAGGTTTGGACCTAACAACTTAATAAATTGAACTAGTAAGTATTAATTTTGGCCTAGGGCACCACAAAAAAAAAAAAATTACTAAGGCAATTCATGGCACCACAAATAGAAAACATTTAGGACTTGCTGGCATCTACAATTTTTTGTTAGGCTTGAAGGATATACAAGAATCGTAAAATACCAATAAATTTTGAGTTCTAGCCACACATACTTCCATTTCAGACAGCTTACCTAAGGTAGAAGTAGAAGCTGCTTATTTAACACATTTGCTCTGACTGTGTGAGTGTGACTAACCACAGTCAACAGAATCAGGGATTATTCTCCCACACCAGGGCTGGCCATCATGGCTAATAGGTGAGCATCGTGGGTGAAATCAGTGACTACCTGGTATTTTATAAACAAATATATACATTTATGTGAGTTCTCGTCTCTTTCCAAGTAACCATCTTAGGCGACTCTATACTTATTCCAGGAAGGGTGACTTAAAAACAATCCTACATTTTCCACTTTTATTTTTTTGGTGTTGAAATTTTTTTCAGAGCCCATGACATGGTAAAACTTCAACAAGAAGGGCAGATTTGACTTCTAGAAACTGTCAAACACAACTTGATGCTGAATCTGATAAGCAAGGCCAGCGGAAGAAGAAAATGCCTAGTAAGGATTTTTGTAAAAACCAAAAGAAAAAAAAAAAAAAAACAACCACACCTAAGAAATAATTCTAAAATGAAGACCTTCCATATAGGGGAGGGAATGGATTCTGAAGCCTTTTATGAAAGAGAAGTAGCAAAAGCATTTTAGTAGCATTATTTATATGAATCTATAGTCTCTTAAGGCAGCTGCTCTGAAGGGCAATACTCATTGGTATGTACACACACAGGGTAATTGTCTTAAAAATTATTCACATTACTTTCTTGGCACACCTCTTAGAGAGAGAGAAATTGATATTTTTATAAATATTTTTAAAACTATAGAATGAATAATTATGTGATACCAAAATCAATACGTTTGGGAAAATGATCAGGATCTCTTTTGTAGCTCTATACTGATTTTATCATACATTGATAGATACAGCCGGGCTGATACACAGATGATCCATTTGGGGTGAGCATTAAATATTTTGAGTATCATTCCTGAACAAACATATCTTTTTCTTTATATATACATATCTGTCTATATGTACAAGAGGCTCCAACTTACACACAATTTTATGTATCTCAATTTTTTTTTTAAGCTGGTTGTTTGGAACTTATAACACAACCTCACCAAAAATAAAACCACATTCTAAAATTTAGACTTGTAAAGCTATCAAGCCATTCCTTCTACCTTAGTATGTAAGATAGATAATCACCATGCAGAATATTGCTTCTCAGAGGTTCTAAACTACATTAGTCTACCAGGAACATGCCTTCCCTAACAGTGACAAAGATATCCAGACCGGTAAGGAGAGGGAAGGAAACAGGACGTCCTGTTAACTCTGCAAATATTCAAGAGAAAGTAATTTTAAGTCAGTTTTCTCTTTAGAGGGTAGTACTCCAGTGTTTTCAACCCTGCTGCACATCAGAATCACATAGGGCTTGTAAAAAAAAAAAAATACCAATTCCCAGGCCCTACCAATTAAATCCAAATCTCTGGGGCTTAGGACATTGGCAATGACAGTGCTCACAGCTCCCAGATGATTTCAATGTGGACCAGGGCTGAGAACCCTAGACTACCTCCTTCCCTACCTCCTGTGACCGTCTGGCAAGTTTAGGCCTTATGTTCAGTGACAGGAAAGGCATATAGATGAGAAATACACATCATTAAGAATGTTCCAAAGTCGAAAACAGGGAAGAGTCATCTGACCCAGACCAGGAAGATGCTTTATGTATTTTACCAAAAGTTATAATGGAGTGACCCTGATTTAGGATGGGAAAAAGAATGGCCACAGACACTAGGATGAGCTTCCCTTTCTGGCTAGGAAAGAATGAGGACAGAGGTAGCTTCAAAGCTGAGAAGCAGAAGTTTAACAAAACAAGTATCTCTCAGAACCGAATACGAAGAAGTGTGTGGCAGTGTCATGCTCACTTTGGGCATCTGCCATGAGCAAGAGCTGGAGAACAAGGAAAAAAAATACAAACAGAAAAGACACGTGACGGAGCTTTAAAATTTTAAAGAGGAAGGAAAAGAGGATTTAAAGGAGCAATCGTCTCTGTATTCATGAACTTGAGGCAAGAAAAGAAATGAGCATTTTCTTCTTCTTTTCTTTGTTTTAAAGCAAAAACCTCTGTTTTTACATTTCAAGAGTAGCCTTGTCCAAAAGCAATGGTTCCTGGTTATTTACTATAGGTCTGTATTTTCCCCATGAATCACTTCACCATCCTAGAGAAACCCGGAGCTCTAAATCAGAGATCCTTTGGGTGTATTTAGCCATGAGAAGGAACTTGTGTTGCTCCGTAAACCTTCCATGAGTTCATGATGGATCTCACTCCCTCTAGGGCAGCCAGCTCCTGCATGCTGCTAACTCAAAGAAGGATGTGGCCTCAACTCAACCTATGGAAATTATTCCTAGGAATTATTTGGGCACCTCCCCACCGTCGTCTCCTCATGGTACGGTAATTTTCTTCTATGAATATTATAGTAAGGCTTCTTCATTGCTGAACAAGAACACAAACAAAGCAGGAGTGCACACCAACTGTGGAAGCAACTCCTGGAGGTTACACATTGCAGGAGGGAGGAAAGCAGGAAAAGGCACCAGTTCTCACCGTAGTTTAACATATCACCCTCCAAACCCACAAATGTCCTCCTTATGAAATATAAATGTTCCTTGAAGCCACTTGGCAGAACCTGCAAATTACAAAATACACAGACACAGGGGTGGATAGGTAGATCGATTAAAAAAAAAAAAATCACATCACAAATCATTTTCCACTAATAGTATACCACAAATGTCGAGTGAACCAAATCCTTTACTCTTTGAGCTGTGAGAAAAGTGATTTTTTGTGTTTTCCAACGTTTGGGGGGAAAAAAATATGATGACCGGGATACCTTGCTACTTCACCGAAAATACGTGGTGATCACCCAGGATGGAGCAGAAGTTTGGGACCATGGTAGCAGCCACCAACAGCTAGAACAGATATTTCACAAGAAGAGCTCCTTTTTGATATTTTTATAATATTCTTAAAGATGCATATTAAATAATTTCTTCTGGACCACAGACACGATTGAACTTAAAAAATAGAAGCCCTATAAATATTGCTAACCCAACCTGTCCTTTGTATCTCCCTTCTTGCATAAAATGGCATCTTTTCAACCAAGCACTTAAAACATAAATATTAAAATAATAAACGGGACACGCTACACATCTACTTATAATTTCATCACTACGGTAGCACCTTTTTGCCAGGACCAATGCATTCATTTTGTAAAGAACAAGAGAAGTCGGAGAAGCTTAAGGACTCATATGACACATCATTAAATATTTAATCACCTTTGAAGTCCTAAGCCTTTATCGTATTTCATCCATCTAGAAAGTTCATTCTATACTATAGATTCCAAAGCCCCCTTTGGATGAGGGGGAGAAAAGAAAATGGGGAGAGAAAACCCTCCGAGAGGCAGGGTTAAATGATCTCAAAGATGACTTTCTATTGGCGCTGTAGTGAACTTGCTTCACCCTGAAACCCACCAATCCACAGCAGGGTCAACTGGTTTAAGTCCATTGTTTTTTAGTCTCCAAGAATCAGTTTTACAAAAGATGCCACATCTGTTGCTTTGGATTCATGTAGGGTGAAAAATGGATGTTGCTAGAAAAAGAAAAGAAAAAAAAAAACATGGTATTAATATTTGTCACTGACAGACACTATCTGAGATTAGCAAATCCACAGATGTTTAGTAAATGGATTAAGTATCCCCATCAGAGGTAAGCCGGACTCCTCCCACCCCTTCCAAAATCAAGTATATATCTAGTGATACAAAAATGTAAAATTTTCTCTTAGTTTCTATTGCTCCCTTTTTCATTTGTTTTGTTTCGTTTTTGAGACAGAGTCACATTCCGTTGCCCATCAACCCAGCTCACAGAAACTTCAGACTCCAAGGCTCAAATGATCCTCCTGCTTCAGCTGCTGGTATAGCTGTGACTACAGGTGTCCACCACGATGCCCAGCTAATTATTTTGTTTTTTATTTTCAGTAGAGATGGTATCTCGCTCTTGCTCAGGCTGGTCTCCAACTCCTGAGTTCAAGGGATCCTCCCTCCCTGGCCTCCCAGAGTGCTAGGATTATAGGTGTGAGCCACCATGCCAGGCCTACTCCTCCCATTTTGAATCACTGGGTTCCCATAATAGTCTATAGCTTTAAAAAATGTAATTATGCTATGTAGTAAAATACAAAGATTGATAAAGACCATTCAAAATTTGATGTATAAATAAATGTGGTCCTCACAATCATTTTAGCCTAATACAGTAGGTAAAATAATTACAAATGTCATAGATTTGTGTACTTTGATTTCTCAGGCAATCTATGATATCATCGAATGAGAGACCAATTTTGTCCAAAAGTCCATGTTCAAGGAGGGCAGTCTTTGCCCTGTGGCACGGGAGAGCTGGGGTGGACTGAAGCAGTTAGAGCCATTTTCCAAACCATGAGTTATTCATACGTGTCTCTTAATGAAGAGTGGATCCATCTGGAAAATAACATGGACTGCCAAGCTATAGGTATGTGCTAAGAAACTGAACTTGGAGATTAAAGATTAAAAGGGAAAAACTGGTCTCTATTCACACAGCTCAGATCAACATTAAAAACACATCAAGTCCCCTACTGAGCTGGGTGAACCAGCACAGTATGATTCAAGAGGTCACATGTTTCAGAACAATTCTGGATATGAAGCTGTTTTCTCTGCACCAGAACAGAGAAAGAACCCCAAAGGGCTCAATTATGTTTTTGTTTGTTTGTTTATCGTTGGTGATTCATTGAGGGTACGAGAAACCAGGTTAGACTGATTGCATTTGTTAGGTAAAGTCCCTCTTATAATTGTGTCTTGCCCCCAAAAGGTGTGTCACACACAGAGACCCCACCTGGGCTCAATTTTGTCACCAAAAGTGCCTGGCTATCACAGTGGAACCTGCTGCCTCTAGTTAGAGACACATCAGGTCATGGTCTATGATAATCAGGTGATGGTCTACATTCCCACAGCGGAAACAGAACCCACCAAAGCAACCAGAAAGGCCGATGCCCCCGGTAGAACCTCCTCCCCAGCACTCCCACGTCCCCAGTCCTCCGGGGTGGGGGCCGTTTTCAATGACCAGCTGAGCAGATAACTATGAGCATTTTTACATGCAGACAGGCTGATGACTCACTTTGTTTCCCCCAACTTTAGGAACTTGAGTTGACCACCTTCCTGTTGCCTAGCTGAAGGTTTTCTAATTATATTTGTTTGAAACCTGACAGCAGAGGATGGAGTGAGTCACAGCCCTGGGGGGAACCGAATGCCCACCCATGCAAGTTGTAGGAAACAATGCCAGTGGGAAAGAAACAGGGAAATAAGAGCCCAAAGAAGGTAGAGCTGGTCACTGTTAAGTATCGTGACTCAGAAAACGGAAAAGAGGTTTTCTGCCTTTGCCCATCTGAGGATACAGGTCGGGTTCTGGCTCAGATCCTCACACCCACGATGTCAACCGAAGCTCTGGATGCTGCATCCTTCATCCGGAGCTTCCCTCCGCAACCAAATAGCAGCACCATTTCTGATTACTAACCACGTACACAGCACACTTACCCAGTGCTTTGCCAGCCTGCCTATTAGCTTTCCCACATCCTCTTGACATTTGAAAATCTTTTAATGTACTTAAAAGCTTTATACTATCAAAACAGGACATGCCAAGCCGCAGATTATCTTGGTGACTGGCTTCCAATGCCTGCCAGCCCCACCTTGTCTCCCGTCCGACTAGCAGCTATTAGCTCAGAGGAGGATGGAGCCTGAGTCTGAGAATGAATTAGAGAAGCTGGCCTGAAGTTTTTAATAAAAGAAAACCTCCTCAGGGATCTTTCCATTTATTCCCAGGCTGAGAGAACGTTGTGGGAGCCAGAGGGGAGGGGGAGGGGAGAGCAGGCAGGCATCACAGATGGAAAGTGTGACTCGCCTTCTTGTGTGGGTTTTGAGGCTGTGAAAGGTTGGGAGGAAACCCAGTCCGGTCTATAAGCAGGTCTAAGAATAGCGAGGGCAGCAACCAGGAGACAAACAGATGAGGCACCATGAATAATCCCTGGGCCCCAGGCCCAGGCGGCCTTTCCCCAAAGAGAAACCAGGTACTAGAAGGCAGGACTTTGCACCACTTAGGTTCACTCTTGTACCTGGAGAAAACATGGAGATCCATGAACCTACTGCCAAGAGCAGAAGCACAAGCCATAGTCACCAGCAGGTCGCCATACCCCCTGTACAATGCCCCAGACTGGTTCCACGGGTTCAGCGAGCTCTGTTTAACACTTCAGCCTAGAATGTCCAGAGGGTATTCAGGCAATCAACTGAACAACCAGGTTATCATTTCTGGTGGTCATCATCTAAGACAGGAGTCAGCAAATTAGGGCCTGGGGGCCAAATCTAATCCACTGTCTGTTTAGTAAATAATGGGTTTTTTTTGTTGTTGTTTTTGTGGAGACAGAGTCTCACTTTGTCACCCTTGGTAGAGTTCTATGGTGTCATAGCTCACAGCAACCTCAAATTCCTGGGCTTAAGTGATCTCTTGCCTCAGCCTCCTGAGTTGCTGGGACTACAGGCACCTGCCACAATGCCTGGCTATTTTTAAAGACGAGGTCTCTCTCTGGCTCAGGCTGGTCTCAAACCTGAGGCAATCCACCTGCCTCAGCCTCCCAGAGTGCTGGGATTACAGGCATGAGCCCCTTCAACCAGCTTTAAATAAAGTTTTATTGAAACATAGTCTCACACACACACACACACACACACACACACCCTTTCCCCCTACACATTGGATGTGGCTGCTTTCACCTTGCAACAGCCAACTTGAGTAGTTGCAACGCAACTGGATGGCCCACAGAGATTAAAAACTTACTGTCTAGGTAGGCCTTTCAGAAGCTGATGGGATACCTACTTTCGAAAACCAAACTCAACTGAGTCATGCCTCCAGGAGAAGTTGGAGAGAATCAGCACATGGGATCATCTTACAGTATGTTCTATCTGAGTTAGGGAGGAAAACATTAGGGATTTCTATAAAAGGTATGTGTCTGGGTTAAGGCCTTAATTAAAGTATCCTTCACCTAGCAAAGGGAATTTCTTTTTCCTCCCTCCAACCAACTCCTAAAATCTAAACAATAGCCTCTCAACATGTGTTTTCCCAATGCTACAGTGGGGGAGCTGGGACTCAAATTTTCCATTTAAAAACCTCAATTCCACAGGAAGGCAAGGAATAGTGATAGTCTTACAGGGCAAGTCCATTTCCAGGACCACAGAGACTAATGCTATGAGAAGGAGTGTTGGGGGAGGGAGACCCACGTGATCTCAGAACATTAACACGTAGGACATGAACTGTCACAGCGTTAGGACATATTGCAAAGAAAGAATTCAACAGCAGCTGCCAATGTATATTAGGCATCTTTTCCCACAAATGCGTTCCAGTGAAATTTCTCATAGGAGGCCACTTGGAAAACAAAAAAATATATTCTGCATTTTAAATAGCCAGAAATAAAGTGAAGATATTCCTCTTTTATCTGAAATTAGTTCCAAAAGGAAACAACTTTAAAATAGGATTACAGTCTCCATAGGATCCTGCAGGAATCCCTTTCTGTGCAATTTATTTTAAGATGTCCCAGGGATCGCATTAGCATAACAAATAGGGTAGCCAGGAATGAAAAGCCTTCTAAAGAGCTATTAAAAAAATATTTGAGGAGGAAATATTCAACCCAAACATGTGGTATACTAAGACTTTCTCAAGTGTTACCATCTTTTCTTCTTCACCTGTGGGTCTTAGCTGAGTAGAGCTGGTAGAGTGCTGAGAACTGGCAGCTGCCTTTTTAATGAGACAGGGGAGGCCCAAGGAGATGGCCGAATTCATCCAATCAGACCCTGGCGTGGACTCCTATCGAAGCTTAACCAACAGAACTGAAAATTCGTGTGATTGGCTGTGACTACCACACACCCTCTGGGCAGGCTTCCCATCACTCTTCCTGACTTGACACTTCCAAGTTCTACTTTCCCCATGTCTGAGCCGCCTCACCACACCACTTGCTAACCAGGAGCCTGTACTTTCATGACATGTCCCAAGCTGGTCTTGGAAGATTTTAATTTTAATTTTATTTTATTTAGAGATGGAGTCTCTCTCTACCACCCAGGATGGATCTCCCATCACAGCCTCCTGAGTTGCTGGGACTATAGGTGCATGCCACAGTGGCCAGTTAATTTTTTTTATTATTTGAATTTTTTTTAGAGACTATATCTCACTGTGTTGCCCAGGCTGGTCTCAAACGCTTAGGCTCAAGTAATCCTCCTGCCTCAGCTTCCCATAGTGCTGGGATTACAGGCGTGAGCCACTGCTTGGCCAGAAGCAAGCGTTTAATGTCTGCTGAATAACAAAACTCTAGTGAGAAAAGGTGTCGATGTTTGCTTTTCTCTAACTACTCCTTCCCCTGCCAAAATTAAAAGGCGGACCATTAAAACCACAAAAAGACAGTTATTTAATTATAATTTAGATCTTAGTCACTTTACTTTCACTAGGCGTCAGTTTGGACACGTTTGTGCCGCTAACCATACTCACCATGAGTTCTGGGTATGTAGGCCGTTCTTTGGAATTCTTCTTCAAGCTTAAAGAAAAAAAATAAGCACATTAACACATAGAAACCACCTGTACTTTCTATAGACTAGGATTTCAGAACTTGTAGAACACTAAATATAACCAGCTTTAAAAACGTCTTGAAACGCAGTCCTTCTCTCTTGGCTTTTTCTTCTTTAACATTTATAAATTCTGTCTCAAATCACTCTGTGTATACGTGAATGGTGCAAATGGCAAAAACAGGGACAGGTGTGTTTGTGTACCTGGGTGCAGCTACTTTCTCTTTAATACTTTGCCGATGACATACAGACTCACTTTTCTGACCACAGTCTTGAATATTTAAAGACACAGATCTCCTTTCCTTCAAAGCAGCTTTTCATGGCAATTCCACTGACAAAGAAACTGGCAGGTATTTCTTCTATTACATTTGTTATCTCGTCAGTGTCTTTAACCCCCTGGTTCTTCTCGCTTCTGTTTCTCACGAATACATAATTTGTTTTTATGTACTTCCAACCAAACCTGCCCATAGCACCGCTTGGGATCTCAGCTGATTAGAGAGAAAGCACACACATTCGGTGACTTAGCAATTACTCTCTCCTTAGGAATATTCTGTGGCATGCACTATAGTCAGGTGGCGTCTGGTCCTTCAGCTGTCTGCACACAAAAACGCTTAACACCATTTGATACCGGAGGCAACGGTAATAAAACTGAAAGGTAAAGATACAACCCCATGACTCTTACCCTTAATCCATCCCTGTCCTTTATCCACCCCCAACCTTAAAGTGGATACAAGAAACAGTTTATGTGGAGTTGGAAACCCAGGTTATGAATGGAGAAAAGGATGACTTTGAAAGCTGATTTGCAAGGCAACCTCTAGACTTCTGTGACCTGTGGGCCACAAAACCTACAGGAATGGAAAGGAGCTTTGCCTGGAGTTGAAGGAATCAAAATGTAATGGATTATTAGGTTGTACGGTTTGTGCTAATGGATCATTTTGAGCAAATAAGACCTCGTGTGTATGACAAGAGCTTTCCTCCACCCACAGGAGCTGTCACAACAGGGGCAAGGGGCAGAACCATAGAGAATAAAGTCATTGAGATACTTTGAGAAACTGTGGTTTAAAATAAAACAAAGTATTTTCAAAAAAATAAAAGGAGAGAGAGAGAAAGTTTTTGAGCCAAAACAAGTTAAAAGCAGCCTACCAGTTTATTCCAGGCAATTCTGTGGGTAGAAGCCAGGGAACCTGAGACAGGGTACAGGTAGATGTGAGGAGAGAAGTTCCAACTGGAACTGACCTAGGACCTAGTGACCTCAGTGACCAACCTATGAGAGAAAGTGTCATCTCAACTGAGGACAAAAATAAGAGTGCATTAGAAAGAGGAATTAGCAATCGTCAAAGCCGGGTTGATATGGGAATGTGTGCCTGAGTGGAATGAATGAGCCCTGGTAACACCCACTCCTGAATACCGACACGCTCAGAGTCCACGCTGGGGGTTCTCAACTGGAGGTGAGTTTGCAGTGAGTTTGCACCCTAAGGGACATTTGGCAATGTCTGGAGGCATTTGGGATCATCACAACTGGCACCAGGGTGTTACTGGTGGTGTCTAATAGGTAGAGGCCAGGGCGGTTGCTAAACATCTCACAAGGCACGGGGCAGTCCCTCGCAACAAAGAACAATCTAGTCTGGAACGTGACCAGTGCAGAGACTGAGAAGCCCTGTGCTAGGTGTGCTAAGGGCTCCCTGCTGCTGCCTCCTATCTACCCTGAGAAGAAGTTCCCTTAACAGAAAAGATCTTCCGCTGTTCATCTGTCACTGGGCACGTTCTCACCACAATTGCCCCCTCCCCGGAAAGCAAGAGTTTTTTTCTAAGTTGAAGAGCTACTTCACCTAGAAAGAAATGCAGAGGAATGGGGTCAGCTGTGCCGACTTGCACAGAGAGCCTAGAAAGAAACAGGAAACAAAACAAAACAAAACAAAAAGGCCAACAGACGAAAAGCCCGACTTTCCCACCATGGTTCAAAGCAAACGAAAAACCAGAAATTCTTCTCTATAATTTGACCAAATTAACTTGCTAAATCAATAACAAGAAAGCACAAACACAGCATTAAATCCACACTCACTATTCAAGGGGCTGATTTCGGGTGTCTCTAATTAGACCCTAAATCGACACTGTATCTGGAACCTTCTCATTGAGAACCCAGGCCCAGCTTTCATTGGTCAATGACAGAACCTAGGGACGGGGAAAAAAAGCGTGTTTCTCAAGTGAAAACGACGGTCTTTTTTACCAACCAGGGCACTTTGTAGTATTGCTACTTTTTTTACCTTCTACTTAGTAGATAACACAGTAAGATTCTTCCCAACAGGTAGAAGAGCTTAAACACTTTTTAAAGTAAAAGTGATTTTAAGAGTTAAGATATCTTGTCTTTTTGCTCCTGTCGTGTTTTCTAACAATTTCACCAGAATTACTATTTTTTAATCTGTATAAAGAAAATTTGGGGAAAATATCCCATTTCTCAACTGATGGGGCCTGATGAGAAAGTTCAAAATTGACCCACAAGAATTACTGCAGAGTATTGATCGAGATAGAATACCTACACAGCAAAGCAAGGCTGTTTATACACTTAGTATACCTGATATAACCCATTCTCTCCGCCATTTAAATGGAGAACACTTCAATACATGGGCTAAGAATAGCTAAATACTCAGGATAAGGTTAGGGGGAAAAAAACAAATTTTCCATGTTGAATAGGAAGTGCTTGAAATCCAGTATAAAATAACAACTGCGGAGTTCAAAGCTACACCAATTTCTTTTTGAACTTGAGTCAGACTTTTGAATTTTCAAGTGACTCGTCATGTTCAAGCGTGCAATTAGCTAACTGCCCTAATTCCTCTTCCAAATGCCACAACACACGCTTCTGACCATAACTGACACTAAAAGACAGCTTCATGCTGTCTTGAGGATTGCTAGTTTGAAGTTTGTGCTGACCAGAGGGTTTCTGCCTGTTTGAATTCCCCTGATCGTTTCCAAGAAGGGCTATTTGGTACATCCACAGAATAAAAACACATTGCACCTCTCAAGCCATATATTTGTCATAAGCTAAGTAAATACCCAGCCTCTTTTTATCATGTTACTGTCTTTCCTGAACAAGTAGGAGACCAGATTTGATTGACCCTGTTTTATACCAGTTCCTCTGAGTCAGACAGTACCGATGTCTAGTTCGGCCTGATGTACTTCAGCACACCATCGGGCTGATCAGAGGGGCACTGAGCCTCTCAAACAGCCCTGAAGGAAAAGCAGAAAGGAAGTCCAGCTATTTTGGCACTAGACGGTTGATTTCCAGTGACTTCCTTCTGTGAACCTATAGGAAGAGGTTACAATGAAAAG